GGAAAAGCTCAGTGCCCTCATGGCTAAGGAAACTGACTGTTCTAACAAACCAACACGAGTCAACCCATTACAACTTCTTAATACAATTCGCAAAGAGGAGACAGTGGCAAAGAGGGGGTTGATGTTTGTGCAGATTCGCCTGAACAATGTGGCTGTCCAGGCAATGGTTGATACAGGTGCAACCCATAATTTTGTTTCTGATCGAGAGGTACAGCGGCTTAGTCTGGCTTTGGTGAAAGACTCTAACCAGATTAAGGCTGTTAATTCAGAGACAAAACCAGTAGGCGGCGTCGCAAGAGAAGTACCTCTAAAAGTGGGTGATTGGCAAGGAACATGTAATTTTATGGCAGTCCCTCTCGATGATTTCCAGGTAATCCTTGGACTGCAATTCCTTACAAAGGCAATGGTGTCTGTTATGTCGCATTTACATGGGATGTTCGTGATGGACATGCCCAATCCTTGTTTTGTTCCCCTCATTAAGGCCAAGTCTTCGGGGAAAATATTGTCTGCCTTACAAGTAAAAGATGGCTTGCGAAAGGGGAGGCAACATACTTGGCCGTTTTATTTGAGGAAGAGGAGTCCAAAGCATTGCAAGTCCCTGAACCAGTGCAACAGTTGCTGGTTGAGTTCAAGGATGTGGCACCTAAAGAATTGCCAGCAAGGTTACCGCCAAGACGGGAGATTGACCATGCCATTGAATTAATTCCAGGGGCAAAAATCCCTGCACAGGCTCCTTATCGAATGTCTCCATCAGAATTGGCGGAGCTAAGGAGACAACTTGGGGGTTTATTGGACATTGGGTTCATTCAACCTTCCAAGGCACCCTATGGAGCTCCTGTTCTGTTTCAGAAAAAGGATGGATCCTTACGGCTTTGTGTAGACTACAGAGCGCTCAACAAAGTCACTATCAAGAACAACTATCCAGTGCCGCTTGTCGATGAACTATTTGATAGATTGGGAAAGGCGGTTTTCTTTACCAAGATGGATTTGCGGCTGGGATATCATCAAGTCAGAATTGCAGAGGGAGATGAGGCGAAGACTGCTTGTGTGACAAGGTACGGGTCATATGAGTTTTTAGTTATGCCTTTCGGCTTAACCAATGCCCCTGCTACATTCTGTAACTTGATGACCAATGTATTTCGGGAATACTTGGACCGCTTTATGGTGATTTATTTGGATGACATAGTTGTTTATAGTCAGACTCTTGAAGAGCATGTTGAGCATCTTAGGTTGGCCTTGACAAAGTTAAGGAAAGCCCAGTTATATCTGAAACCAGAAAAATGTGAGTTTGCCCAGAAGAAAATTTCATTCCTGGGGCATATTATTTCTGCGGGCATGGTGAAGATGGACCCAAAAAAAGTTGAGGTCATTGCAGATTGGCCTGTCCCTACTAAGGTTACTGAACTGCGTTCTTTTCTTGGTTTGGCAAACTATTATCGAAAATTCGTGAAGAATTATTCAAAGAAGGTCACGGTGCTGACTGATCTTCTAAGGAAGGATAGGACATGGAACTGGTCCTACGAATGCCAGGAGGCATTCGATCGATTGAAGGCGGTGGTGACGTCTAGCCCAATTTTACGCTTACCTGATTTTGATTTGCCCTTTGAAGTCTATACAGACGCATCAGACTTTGCTCTTGGAGGGGTGCTGGTGCAGAATGGGCATCCAGTGGCATTTGAAAGTAGGAAGCTGAATGATACTGAGAGGCGGTATTCAGTACATGAGAAGGAGATGACAGCAGTCATTCACTGCATTAATGCATGGAGGCACTACTTGTTGGGGAAGCATTTCCTTGTACTGACAGATAATGTGGCTACCAGTTGCTTCAATTCCATGAAGAAGCTGACACCAAAACAAGCAAGATGGCAGGACTTTCTTGCCCAGTTTCATTTCACATTGCAGTACAAGCCTGGCAGTGCAAATCAGGTTGCTGATGCTCTTAGTCGAATCCTAGTTGCTGATGGGACAGTTGCTGCACTTAGCCAGATTGCAGGAGACATACTGCAGAGAATTCAGGATCAGACTAAAGATGATCCAGTGACCAGCTTATTGCTGAAGCAGGTTCACGAAGGGGTGACTCGGCGATTTTGGGTAGAGGATGGTGTTCTCTACACCAAAGGTAGGAGACCCTATGTTCCGAAGTCAGGCGGCGGACTTCGACAGATGTTGCTGAAAGAAGCTCATGATGCTCTATGGGCAGGACATCCAGGGCAGCAACGGACTCTTGTCTTGCTAGCAGAAAGTTATTATTGGCCCCGCATGGAAGCAGATGTGGAGCTGTATGTGCGCACTTGTTTGGTGTGCCAGCAGGACAAGATTGAAAGGAAGAAGGTGGCGGGTACATTGGAACCTCTCCCTATTCCAAGCCGACCTTAGGAGAGTGTTTCCATGGACTTCATTAATGGCTTGCCTCAGGTAAACGATTTTACTTCGATATTTGTGGTGGTAGACAGATTTTCGAAGTATGCCACTTTTATTGCTGCCCCAAAAATATGTACGGTAGAAGTTACTGCTCAGTTATTCCTCAAGCATATTGTAAAGCTTTGGGGTCTTCCGCTGGACATAGTGAGTGACAGGGACACTCGGTTTACTGGCCGGTTTTGGACAGCTTTATTTGAACTGTTGGGCACACAGCTCAACTTTTCCACCAGCAATCATCTGCAGACAGATGGGCAGACCGAGCGGGTCAATGCAATGCTGGAGGAATATCTCAGACATTATGTCACAGCGAACCAAGACAATTGGGTGGATTTACTTGATGTAGCCCAGTTCAGTTATAACCTCCAACAGAGTTCTTCCACTGGAATGAGCCCCTTTGAGTTGGCAACTGGCCAACAGCCTCTTACCCCGCATGAAGTTGTCAAGCAAAAGTCTCAAGGGAGATGTCCTGCAGCATATCGCTTCGCTCGGGCCAATCAGGAGCGGACCGACGAAGTAAAAGACTGTTTAACTAAGGCGGTGAAGAGGATGAAAAAGTGGGCAGACGAGAAGAGGAGGGCAGTAGAGTTCGAAATGGGTGACAAAGTGATGCTGAAATTGACCCCACCAATCTGGAACAAGATCTCTCGAAAGTCTGCACACAAGGGATTAATCCAGTGTTATAACGACCCTTTCCTAATAACATTGAGGATTGGTAGGTTGGCCTATAGGCTGGATCTTTCCAGTCGTCTCAAGCTTCATCCAATTTTCCATGTTACCTTCTTAAAGCCATATGTTGAGGACCCGGAGAACCCTAACAGATACGTTCGGCGCGGGCTCCTCCAACAATCAGGAAGCAATTCACAGAAATAGCTGAAGCTATCCTTGACCACAAGACTGAAGATATGAGTAAGAAAAATAGAAGAACTCATTACCTAGTCAAGTGGAAAGGGAAGCACCGGAGGAAGCCACTTGGGAGAAAGAGACGACATTATGACAGTTCGATGATCTCATCAAGCAATACCATGCCTCCATTCCAACGAGGTCGTTGGATACTTCAGGTGGCGTTGGCTTGTCACACCCTAATTGACTTGGGTGCAAATGGCCGGTCTTGGTGGCACCTTGCACCAAGGCATGCCAGAAATCGGAATCAAGGTGATGCGGCTAAGTGGTTCGACAGATTGGGGCAAACCAAGGTAGCATGAGACCACCCGGTTGAGCATGGCAACATGGGTGGGCTCAATTGAAGCAATATGGGTGTAGAGCTTCGGATTGCATGGCAGGAGTTGAACCCAGCATGCACATTGGTTCGTGTAGCAAGGTTGACTGCTGAATGTGGGCACCTGACTAGCACATGGATGCTCAATGCATGTGACCAGGAGGATGTGGGCGGTTATGATGCTGAGACTCAGTTAAAGCAGTTGCTGAGGCAGTTCTGGACATCCCTAGTCTAAATCCAATCTAGATGCATGCTGATGAAGGGCAGTTCCACAGCATTTACTGGAAGTGGTGGAACTGTCTGCCAGGTGCTGCACAGAGACCAAGCCTGCTAGCCCAGTATGCTATGGAATAGCAAAAACGTGGGTAACTACCCCTTGGCAGATGGGGGTATCATCTGCCTTCCTCTTGTATAAATAGAGGTGCTTGAGCATTCTGGAAAAGGGGAGAGTGTTCTGACTTTGAGAGTCATTGTAAATTGTTGTGTTCAATATATAAAGTTTGGAAGTGTTGTCCCAGTAAATTCGCGTGTGCCTTCTGTGTGAGTTTCTATCCCTTATTCTTGAGTTTGAGTGTGGCTGGTTGCAATAGCAACGCCTTCACAGGTAGCCTCAAAGGAAAAACGAAAGTTATCCCGTGACACCTAGAGATGTGGGTAAAATCAATATGCTTAGATATATAGGCCTGGTAAAAAAAATTGAGAAAGATAGGAAGGAGGGAACAAATACTTGGAATTAATAATTAGGGAAAAAAGAAAGATGAAAAAAGAGAGTTCATAGGCACCTCTTAGGGTATTCCAACTAAGATTTATGAAGCCTACACACTCATTCCATCCATATGTTAAACTGACTCAACCTTGTAGACAGCCGATGAACATTGCTGAAGGTGAAAAGCTTAAGTTAGATACTAAAGAAAGTTACTTCATGAGTATGTAACAGCAACCCACGTGAGAAAGTTAGTGACTAATTAACCCACTTTCTTAGAAGGTTACAGCATGAATACATAAATTTCCTAAAAATATATTTTTTTAACAGAAACTCCCCTCACCCCCCCAAAAAAAAAAGGAAAAAAAAAACCTAGAAAAAGGAAAAATTACAAAAAACAGGGATCACACACATAGAGAAAGAGAATTAACATCTTTCAGAAGATTTATGTTCCTGCACAATTCATATTAGAAAGGAAAAGGCTAAGGACCTTAGGTTTAGGTTGCCACATTGGCTTCTATCTTTTCTTCATCAGTTCAAAATTGATGGCATCCAAAACACCTAAACACAGTTGTTAGGCAGAGTTTGAACAAACCATTCTAATTGCCTTCATCGAGTGCAGTTGCAAAATCAGATAATGAGAGAGAGAGAGATGCTCACCACTTTTATATCTAACAGTGTATTCATCAACATCAACTCCCGGAAGAGTGAAGCCTGCCCTGGTCAAAAGATTGCCAGCATCCCGCACCTACATAACACCAACAAAAAAAAAATTCTCAGACCTCTACTAAGATAACAATAATCATTATTATGAAAAATTAGAAAACAGCAAGATTCAAGGTAAAAAACTAAAGTAACTCAAGAATCACAAATAAATGAAAGGTATACTCATGAAGAAAAGAATTTGTTGAAAAATAATGTAAAATAGACTCTAGCCAAACCAATGTTAATGCAGCTGTACAAATGAAAGATAAAAACACACTTATTAAACAATGGGAAGGGAAAGTGATGTCGATCATAAGAATCGCACAAAGGGGGAAATGCAAAGAAAAGGAGATTTAGGGGACCAATTTAAAGGCCAGAGCCACCAAGGACTTAGCAGCTCAGAAGTTTAAATGATCACTTGAAACTTCTGTCAAGTTACAATAAATTATCCACAACTCAACTCAATTCAACAATTTGATTAAAAAAGAAACTCAATTCAACAAACATTTATCTTAAGAAGCACGGATACGAGTACGGGTACGATATAATACAAAGACACAACAAAACTTTCAAAAACAAGATACGTCTATAATAAAATATATTTTATATTTTACTATTATTTGACGACTTAAAAATTACATTTTTTAATAATTATTTAACAACAATAAACAAAATTAACAATTTTTACCTTAAAAAAGATGTAATATCGTCCCATTATTATATATCCATAAAATGAACGTAACCAATTAAAGAAATCAAAACCAACATTTAACTAGTTGGTTTGTTTACAAGTATCTGTTTATAAAATTACAATGTAGTGAACTCATTATCTTATATTCTTTTGATATGTAATAATAGATAATACTTAAAAAATTCTCGTGCCTTCAAAATCAAATGAAATTTTGTTGATATTTTGTATTGTACGTAAACTCCAAAGGAGATGGCATAGATTAAAATTAAAAATTGTATATTTTGCTCCATGTGTAAAAATATCTACATATTTTATTAATTATGAGATACGTATAATGCATATTCAATACGTATCCGATGAATATCGTAACCGATACGAGTATGTCGACCTTAACAAAGTATTCGTGCTTCATAGGCATTACCCCAACTATTTTGGGTCATCAACATGAATCTTCTTCCTCCATTATGCTCAATGAAGGTCCATATTCTCATTTAAACAACAAGCTTACTATCTCATTCAATGCTAATTTTAGCCTATCCTATTTCTCACATTACCATTGATACGAATCACATCACACCACCTAAGTCGATTCTCTCTCAATTTATCTTCAATTAATGCTATTTCTACAATTCTATAAATAACATCATTCCTAATTTACAACACATTCATCTTAACCTCTACATTTCAACCACACTTAATTTCTAAACATGTTATTTCTAAGTCGCCCAATATAATGTACCATAACATATCGTTGGTTGGCCTACTAGTTGTCTTATCAAACTTACCTTTCAACTTAAAAGCAAGGATCAAAATTTCGTTTCGAAGTACCGTTTCGGTCAACTCAAAAATAGAAACGTTTCGGAAACATTTCGGAAACGCAATGGAAACGCAGAAAAAATATAGAAACGCATAGAAACACAAATGCAATCCATTAATTTATAAAGATATGCTAAATAATTTATTAATTCAACATATTTATTAGGTTAACATCAATTTATACAAGAATAAATTTAAATTTGAGGGAAAAAAAGGCTTGACTTGAGGCGAAAGTCACTTAAATTAGTTTCAAACACTTAATTTTTATGAAATAAACACATTTTTACATAATATTAAGGTCTTATAATACACATGAAATGCTAATGAGTACATACTTACATGGTTACATCCATTCCCCTGTGGAGTGTCGAGCAGGCTCATACATCGGTGTAGGCTCTGGGTAGCTACTTAGAGAAACTCCATATGTGACATAAATATGATGACAATAGTTACTCCAAATCATATTATTACGGTAATATAATCCAATTAATAATACTATTTTATTATAATACTAATAATGAAGGATATCAAATTAAATTAATGATACTTATGTATACTTAAAAATTAAATGTAATTGCAGTGGGTATTAAATGTAATTACAGTAGGTATTAAATATAATTACATTAGGGTATTAAATGTAATTGTTAATACTTATAACAAAAAAAAAAAAGCAAAAAACTTGCACAGCAGTGAGGTATTAAATATAATTATAGTATGTATTAAATATAATTATAATGGGTATTAAATATAATTATAGTAGGGTATTAAGTGTAATTATTTATTCTTATAACAAAAAAATTATAAAAGACAGAAGAGCAGTGGAAATTAAATGTAATTATAGTGGGATATTAAATATAATTATAGTGAGTATTAAATGTAATTACAGTGGGTATTAAATGTAATTATAATGGGGTATTAAATATAATTATTCATAATGAACCGAATATATCACTGTTTTGTCGAAACGGTTCGAAACAATGCCGTTTCGACTAAAACGGTCCGAAACAGTACCGTTTCGATCGAAACGGTACGAAACAGTACCGTTTCGACCGAAACACTGGAATTTTGTGATTCAACTACTGTTTCGTTTCGGAGTGTTGAAATTCCGAAACGTTTCGGACGTGTCGACACGACATTTTGATCCTTGCTTAAAAGGTATATGTCGATAATAGTGAACACCAAATGCATCCTTTCGGTTAATTCTTCCAACTTTAACTCCAAGACTAACATTGTATCTAATCTCACCCTTCTTGTGGATAATTACCTCAAATTCAAAAGGGTTCGCTTTTCAAAATCTTTTGATTATTGATCTTTAATATCTCACTATTTGAATCATCATTTCTACAAAATTCTTATTTCATAAACTCATCTGTGTTTCAACTTATTTTAAATCTTTTTTATTCTAAAGCATCTCTCTAAATTTCTACTTTATTATTAATTACTATTTAAGGTTCACTAATCGATACTTTATCATCACCAAATCAATTCACTGTTGAGACTAGTCCTGAATGTGCTTATGTATCTCATCCATAATCAAGGGAAAAAGTAACAGGCATAAAGGCAAAACTTTGAAGTAATCAAACAGTGATTGATAAATCACTACTCTCCCATATGTTGTTCTCACTAGAAGTCATTGAACCCTCATAAATGTCCTTAACCATATCATTATACCTATTTGTAACTCTTTTCTTTTTCTAAGACACTATAAATTATATCCCTAGATAATCTATCATAAGTCTTCTCTAAGTCTACAAAAAAATTACCAAAACCATATGTTGATTATTTCAGTAAATTCCAATTTTGGATAGTAGATGGGCAGTTGTGACGGGGCTTTTTGATACCAAAAAACTTTCGGTTGAACTTTGATGGGACTAGTAGGCCTAAAGAAAGGGCCAAATCATTAGCCTTGCTTCCAATTTTGCTAGGCCACTAAGTTTTTTGCATTTTCCAACTATTAGATTACTCCTCTATATATTGTGACATAATAGCTTTGCTTTGCTTTGAAGATGGAATGAAGAACCTTTCAAAGCAAACAAGGAGATATGTGAGGCACATTCCCTATGTCAAACAACCCAAGATCTGGGCGTGCTTGCCTCCTCCTGTTTTTTTCTCTTACTTCTTCCTTAACCAATCTCTCATTCATCCAAGATTTCCATGGCTTAAATCACAAGATAACGATTCTATATTGATGAGGAATTTTAAGCACTCAATCATATACAAATATTCATAAAAAGAAAAGAAAGGACAAGCTGACCAGAGTGCAGAGTTATACATCCTTGTTGCCGCTACCCCATCAATTCATAAACAAATATTCTTCTACCAACCACCAGCAAATATGTTTTTGTTATTTATCAGCCCACGAGGATTTTTAATTTTTAGGCTTATGGAAGGCGGAAGGCCATGAAGCTGATGATTTCCACCACAAATCCGCACTTAAAAAGGTGTCATAAGGGTCAAATTACACTCGGTATGTGTCATCACTGTCATTAGCATTGTCATCAGCACTTTCAGCAACGAGTAAACTTAACTTCTCCCATTGACAATATTTGACACGATGAGGATCACCGCAAAGAAAGCAACCAAAATCAAAGTTCTTCTGGTTGTTGTCTGACATTTTAGAGTCACCAATGTTCTTCTTCTTCCAGTCCACCTTCATTGCATTCTTGGAAGTGTCAGTTTTGTCTTTCTTACTGCCACCATCTTTCTTCAGAAGGGCCTAGATTGGCCATCTTGAAGTCAACAAGGTCATCCGCATCAGTGGGTAGATCACACCCCCAACCTACGCAACTCGGTCTACGCCCATCCTTGAAAACCAGACATGAAATTAAAGAGTTTATCCTCCTCAGACATGTTCTTGATAACTATCATCAAAGAACTGAAATCCTTCACATAATCCCGAACAGTGCCTATATGCCTCAATTTCTTGAGCGACTCCCTCACAATGATTTTCTAATTTCACAAATGGCATGCAAACCAAACCCTTCTTTAGCCGTTCAATTTTATCATTCTTGATTCTATCATATTGAACTAGATTAAGAGTAACGTTGATAGCGGTCTTATTATCACATTATAGTCTTATAAGTCTAGCATCATGAATTCCTAGCTACCCTAGAAAGATTTGGAGCTACATAAGCTCAAAAATTCCATGGGCCACGGCTTTATATTTAGCCCCTCCTGCACTCGATCTAACTACAACTGCTTTACTTCTTGCTTAGCCAAGTAACAAAATTCCCCTTGTTAGGGTGCAATATTCCAACATAGACCTTCTTTCATTCACTGAACCAACCCAATCTACATATTTCTAACCTCAAGTGACCATGATTCTTAAAGCTCTTAACTGTATTATTATTTTAGCAATTATGAATATTTAGACTTTGAATGAATAACTCTTTTAAATTATGTTATTACTGGCTAAACTTAGAATGGATTCCCCAATTCTTGTACCATCAAAAAGGATCAAGGTAGATGTCATTTTTTTAGGGTTTATTTTTAATTATTTCTTTTTTCTTTTTGGTTGACCATTCATAGTTTTAGCT